TTGGCTTAATAATAATATATATATAGTAATAACTTGAATAGCAGAAATTTTATTAGTTTAATAGCTACTAATACAACTAGTTCTATACCAATAGCATATATTACTATAGAGATAATAAAATAACTGGATTGTCAAAACAAGAACAAGAAATAGCTCAACAACAACTAAAAACTAAGCAAAGATTTGCAAAAGTATTTGGCCTTACAAAAGTAATAATAAATAAAGCAATTGATTTAAATTTAAACAGAAAGCTAATAATGATATTTGAAAATTTTCATGAAAATAAAATCAAGCTAAGTTTGGAACTTAATAATATGAATTATGCACAATCTGATAAATTTAATAATGCCAATGAAGTAGATATTACCAATTCAGATAAAAATAACTTAGAACACGGAGATAAAAATAAAGTATTTATTTCTTCAAAGCACAAAAGAGAAAAACTTTAATTGTTGAGAATCTTATTAAAAAATATTAAAAAAGACATTCTTTAAATACTTAGAGAATTTTTAGTAATATAGAGAATAATCAGAATACAAATTATTTATCAAATACAAATTAATTATTAAACATAAAGCAAAGATTTATTAATTGTTCTTATTGTCATAAAGCAGATTATAATATTAGATATTGTAAAGCAAGGCTTATAGATGAAGTTAAAAAAAATAGTTAAAGCTAGATTAATATAAGAATTAAAACTAGAATTAATATTTAGAATAGTTAGAAGATCTAGAAAAATATATAGTATATATATTTTATAGTTTTATTGTAGCTTTTTTGTATAGATTGCATATTCTAATTTTTGCAGTTTCTATATTGATAAGAGAGTGATTAATACAATTAAATCTTAGAATTTAATCAAATATTCTTATAAGATTTTATTTGTATTTTTCTGTATAGTGATATAAAAATTTATAACTCTAGTTTATAAGAAGATGCAAATATATAAGATATACTACTTTGCAAAAAGGCTATATTGAAACTATGCAATTAGTTATTTTACCAACACAATATAATTTTTAATTTGCTAGTATTTAAATATTATATTTGTATATTAACTTTTTTTTTTTAAAAATTAAAATTATCCTGAATTTATAACAATTAACTAATTAACAAAGGTAATTATAATACAATATTTAAAATATATTAAAATTTAATTTGCAATAATAATAATCAATATAATAATTTTTTTAATACTAAAGCTAATTTTTTAACTATTTTTCTTGCTTTTTAATATTAATAAATTACTTGTACCTAGTTTAAACATAGAACTAATATTAAGAAAATTGCTATACTATAAATGTTAAATATTTTTATTATATATATTATATTAATTTTCAATCTGATTATTATTTTGATTAATATTAACTAATTATTTTTATATATATATTAAAATATCTATAGTTATTTCAAATCTAAGAATAATCTTTTAAAGAATTCAATTTTTGACTTATTGCAGTATTTATAATTGTATCCAAATTAAATTTGCCTAGCTCAAAACTCATTTGTTTTAATTTAAATTCAGGTTATTCTACTTTAGAATTCTAATAATATTAAATTAATATTTGATATTAATTATAATAATAATTCTTGGTATTATTAATTCTTAAGTAAACAACTTGGATATCTAATTCTAAATCAAAAGATAGCCAGATTCTAAATCAGATAAATTTCAATTCAGTAAAAAATTTCTCTAATTGGTGTTAATTAATTGCTAAGTAATTAATTTATATTTTGCAGTATATTTTTTTAAAAAATATTATTAACTTCAGAACTTCAACAAATACTGGGTAAAAGAATCAAAAAAAAACCAGACTTCGAAGAATTTTATATAAATTTATTTATTTTCTATTTAACTATACTAAAATATATACTAATAATTAATTAGTTTACTAAAGTAAAACAACTGAAAAAGTATAGTTTTTATATAATAATACAATAATTTTTAAAAGTCAAAATAAAATTCAAATTAGGCTCAAATTTATATTTTAATATGAATATATCTAAATTAAAATCTTATATATATGTAGTATATTTAGATTTATATACTAATTATATATATATTAGATATTAATTATAGTATATTAATTTTTTTTTTTTTTTGATATTAAGGTGACCTCTATAGCCTAGGGACTTTTTTATTAAATGCAACATATGTTTTTATAATTACAACAAGAGTACATCAAGTACTTTTGGTATCTAATTTAAGTAGTCCGCCTGAAGATTCTACACTATTTGCCATACCTGCACCCCAACTATGGAAGTACCTATTTAAACTTTCTGGTTACAATTACTATTTATTACATCTAACCCTAGGTATTACTCACTATATATACAAGGGTTTTGCTTCTACCCAATTGGATTTTGCACTCATCTTAGGACTTACTAACCTATTTTAGCTAATCTATCTACAAGGTAAACCTAACAGAATAGTCTATATTCCATATATGTATTTATCTG